AAAAAAAAAAAAAAAAAAAAATGAGGCCAGTCCCAGTTACAATCTTAAATACTGGTGCCCAAAAACTATTTCAAGCAATGACAGTATCATTGGAATAAGTGTGTAGCCTCATAAGGTGGAGAATTTTTCCCCACATGTATAATAATTCAGGGAAATTTTAATATTGCTGGATATTGGATGATATTAACAAATTTTTAATTCTTAGATTGATAATGATGCCAAGTTATGTTTTTTCAGAGTCTATTTTAAAGGTACATACTGAAATATTTACAAATGAAACCTATGATAGAAGGGATCTGTTTCAAAATAATATAAAGAGAATGGGGCAGGGGAGTGCTGAGGGAAGCTGCTGGTGAACACATAGGCTTCATTCTATTATTCTCTCCACTTTTGTATATGTTTGAAATTATTCAAAATAGAAAGTTAAGCAAAGTCGTTTTCTATCAATCTATATACCTCATAGCCAGCCCTGGTAGATGGAAAAAATAAGATAGAAAGACGCACTGTGGATGAGGGCAAAGAGAGGCCCAGAAGGACCCACCATCCAGCCCCTCACTGTGTTGCTGTGGACAGCTCTTTATTTTTTCTGTGCCTCAGTTTCCTGTCTGTGAAATGCACTTAATCACAACCTCCCCCAACACACACACACACACATGCACACGCCCCTTCCCAAACAGGCTAAAAGGACTTGAAGGCACAAGATGGCATCTGTGTGACACATTGAGCCATTGAGCTCCTTAGGAGAAAGATGCTACATAAACGATGCATTATTAGAGGATCTCAGCACACAGAGGTGTTATATGAAGTCCAGTTTAGATGATTCAGGATTCCCAGAATCCACACAGATTTTCAGAAACTACCTCATACTTAGTTCTCTAAGCCAACTGGAAAAAGGAGCAGAAACAAACACCCTGCTGCCACACAGGAGGCTTTTAGCAGCTCTGTTGACTCCTCCGACACAAAGCCCTTGTTTGTGCGTGACAGATGGTGCTACATGCTTTCTCTCCCTCCCTCATTCACTCCCCTCTGTTTCTTTGTCGCCCTCTATTTGTCCTTTTCTCCAGTCCTTCTCTGCCTCACACCACTTTCCTGAATTGAAAAGCCAGTGAGAAGGATAAAGGCAAATAGAACGGCAGCCCTAGGAGGACGCCTCTACCCAGACCCACTGTTTATTCTATCGGCCCGCACAGTCCCTTCCTGGTTCACAGTCCTCACACTGGATTTGAATGCATTTTTGAAGACAGAGTGACACACCTTTGAAACTGTAGGGGGGTTCAGAGCAAACACTAAATGACCCATAAATATTTATGTAGAAGGTTTCCATGGGTTGCTTTTCCAAAGTGATCATAGTCAATGTGCGTGTGTGTGCACAGACGTGCATACACACATGCGTGCACACACATGTTCCTTCCGGGCCTGGCCACTCCCAAATAACAAGTATAGACCTAATCTCTTACTGAATAGTTACTGCAGTAAGCATAGTGCATGACCCAGCTGGGGTAGGGGAGGTATGAAGGATTGGATGTGCCAGAGACCTTCCTCTATCCATAGAGAAGGCTGGTTCTGCCCCTCTCAGATCCAGGCAAGTCACTTAGTCTTTCATAGCCTCTGTTCCTTCTTCTGTAAAATGAAGGTATTAGAATACAAGGATGATCTAGAATCCTTTCCAGCTCTAAATATCTATGATTCTCTGAACAATCACACCAAGGTTTTTAGAGAATTCCCTTAACATAAATCTACCTGATACCCAAATACCTGGTAGTGGCAGGGGAAGTCTGCTGGAATAGATGTCAAACCAGTGATTGAGCAATGACCTGTGTGGTGACACAGGAGAGACGTTAGGGGCAGGGGGAAAAGGAAAAAATGGTATCAAGTTCAGTAAGGAAATGACTCATCTATAAATAGGGATGGAGAAGGGGATTAGAAAGGAAAGAACTGGCATAATACATCCCAGGCAGGAGTAGGAGGCACGACTTGGCACCTGGCTGGATGTCTAGGAGAAAAGAGAGCAAAAAAGCAAAGCAGTACAAAAGGAGGTGTGCTTTCCCACTTGGTCACCTGAAATTCATTCTCAGGTCCCAAACATGCTTCAAACAGAGGCATTCTGCAAGAACCAGCATACCAGCCCTTTCAGAAGAGGCCTTAATGTGATGACTTGTTCTATACAAGGATAATAACTATCCCCCATGGCCACCCCCACCCCCAGACAAGAAAGAGTAAATACCCATGATCAAAAATATGAAGTCACTATTTGAGAAGTAATAGCTACATCTGCAAATGATTAGCTCTAAGGTTTATTACCAATTAGTACTATAAATCTCTGCTTACTTTGGCTCCTGGAAAGTTGATTTCATGGCAGGGGTTGGGGAGGGGGAGAAATCCAAGCTTAAAAAGACACACTTCAAATTCAAAAGGGAGCAAGTTTGCTCAAGCAGCAGAGCTGCAAAGCAGAAATGACTTGCGGTTCTGAGCAAACAGCCCAGCAGATGCCTTCAGGGTTAGCAAAGTCAAGGGGGCTGGTGCCACATAGAAGAGGATGTCGGAGGCCCACAAGGAGGTTGCACAGCTGAGTAGCCAGCCAGGCCATGCCATAGCTCAAGTTGGCAGCAGAGTACATGCATCAGGCACAGTTCCTTATCTCAGGGGTTCACGCTTGGTTGACCATTGGAAAACCTACCTATGCTTGGTCACACTGCAGACCAATTAAATCAGAATCTCCAAAGGTGGGGCTTAGTTATCAGAGTGGTTCGAAAACTCCCCAAGTGACTCTTAAGTGCAGCAAGGATTAAGAACCACCACTTATCTCATTTCATCCTCAAGCAAGTCCATGTTATAGGATTGCTATAACTCTCACAGTTTACAGAAGAGAAAACTGTGGCCCGGGGAGGCTAAAAAACAGGTCTAGGGCTGTGCAGCTAATAGTGATAGAAGCAAGATTTGAACCCAGAGCCCACACTTTTATTCCTTATGCCCTATGGCCTCCAAGGCCATGATTCTCAGCTTTCAAGGTAGAAAATGGGGCCCTCAAACTATTTTCACATATTATTCAAAAAATCATAGAAATGAAACATTAGCCCATATTAATTCTATGTATTAACTAGAGAGACAAGTTTCTTTCCTTTGGTTGAAATGTCATCAACACAGAGAGGTTGCACAGGACATTTCCTGCTCATCAGTTCTTTCATTCAGTAAGTATTGTGTCAGTTTCCTGCAGTGTCTATAAAATAGAACCACCCTGTGCAGATAATCACACGACAGATGTCATAGGGGCCATAATAGACACTCTGAGAGCCCACAGAAAGAAGTTGGCAGCTTGGAGTGGGGGTACTATTTATGCCCTTGGTAAGTGGAAAATGGCAAGGTAACTCATAGGAGAATATATGTTGCTATGTGGTGGAATGAGACATGGAGTCCCTAAGTGGACGCAGGGGCTAATAAAATGTTAGGAGAAGGATAGGAATACACTGGGCTGATCCGTAAATATTTAATGCAGGGTAGAAAATGTAGATTCTTGGCTGGCAGCCAGATGACTGTAATGAGCTGGACATTGGCAGAGAAGGTGGGGACTGAGGTGTCCTGTCTAAAGAGGCAGCTAGTTCTCACCTCCAGCCAAAAATTGCCACATAAGAATGTGGGTGCAGTGTTGTTGGACCTTTTGACTTTTTTACGGGAAGCTGTAAATATGAGGGTGACCATTGAGGGTGATCTCCCGCTAGTCCCATGGATCCCAAAGTGACTGCTTGTTCACCTGTGCCCTCCCTTCCTCCCTCCCCCCCTGCAGGTATGCTCATTTATTTTGGGTACGGCATCTGGAACAGCACCCTGGAAATCAGCGCTCGAGAGGAGGCCCTGCACCAAAGCACGTACCAGCGCTACGATGTAGATGACCCCTTCTCGGTGGAGGAGGGTTTCTCCTACGCCACAGAGGGTGAGAGCCAGGAGGACTGGGACGGGCCGGCCGAGGACAAAGGCTTCTCTTACCAGCAGATGTCAGATGCAAAGGCAAACAGCCGGACAAGTAGCAAAGCAAAGAGCAAAAGCAAACACAAACAGAACTCAGAGGCCCTGATTGCAAATGATGAGCTAGATTACTCTCCGGAGTAGGAGGAAACCATGCAAAAGCAGGGTGGAAAGATGAGGCTCGATTTTCAGTAACTTAACTTGCGGGCTAGAAGGTGAAATCTTTTCTGGCTCTCATTTCACAAATCCAGCCTTCCCAAAAGTCAGTCCCCAGTCATAGCCTGTCATTTGCTACTTTCACTCTTCAGCATAGTTCTGTCGAAGGCTTTAACCCAGGTCCCCTAACGGGTCCCCTTGTAGAAAACTAAACAAGAGGCTACACAAAATTCCATCTTAGGAGCAACCATCAGAGCTGATGGTAGCAAATGTTTCCTAGGCCTTCGCTTTGCTGGTTGAATCTTTTTGCTTCTTATTGAGACCCCAAGGAGCAAGCTTCTTGGACCCTACTGAGGCTGAAGCTCCTCCTGGAGACGTGCCAAAGCCAGTGGGAGTGGGCACAAGGCAGCTTCAACCACTTGAGACCACCAGGGCAAAGCTGTGTTCTCAGCTTGTCGGGATGAGTGCTGCTCCCCCCAAGTTCAGGGTAGCCAGGTGGGCATTGGTACTTCCTCAGCAAAAGATATTTTGTCCTGAAATCTCACCTAAAAAAATTCACAGAGAAGATATACATCCTTCTTTTTCTTCACCAATGTTCCCACAGTTTCCAGATATAACTTGAGGATCCACCAAAGATCAGGGACTCTGAGACCGTTTCCCCAAAGGTTTCAAATTCACCATAAAGCAGTCATGCAGACCCAATGATATAGTAAGAAGCACCGTCAAAGCTCTACTTAAATGCCCAGAAAAAAAATTAAATAACCATCTCTTGCAGTGAAGGCCAGAAGGGCATTGGCAGGAATGAACTCTCTGTCATGCCTTCTCTTATACCAGACTCTCAGCTCCTGCTGATATGCTGCAAGAGAGTGAAGGTGGAGCATGATTTCATAACAGTAATATGCCTTGAAAAAGTAGGCTGTTTGTTTTATGATCAGATAAAAACCTTTACAAGGAGAAGTGACCGAGCCACTGAGATCACGTTGCAAATTCTATTTCACATTTCCAAAGTTATTAATTCCGTAGTTTTTTGAGTTATGCAACCCCCTGATTGGTGGGTGCTACTCTGAAAACAGAAAATGTTGAAGCACAGCTGCTTAGGTCATTGCATTCCATGAGATCACATTTCGCTTCTGAACCTTATTCTTCTGAGGTAGCTCACTTTTAGAGGGTTTTTTTGTTTTTGGGTTTTTGTTTGCTTGTTTGTTTGGGGTTTTTTTTTTTTTT